TTACAATGCCCAGGGCTCCACAATAGCAGCTTGTAGTTGCTGGAAGTTCTGCGATAGCCGATGAGCGTTGCCGGTCAGAACCGAACGTAGAAAAGCAACCAAGTATACGTCGATGAGCACACGACTGTCAACGATCAGTTGACTCAATTGTTTCTGAAAAGAAGCCCACGTAACGGTTGTGCATTGAACTTTGTAATGTTGATTTTCGTAAGTCGGATGGCAGTTGGGTCTATCTTTGCGCGGGTTGAGTTGGTGTAGCTGGTATAGTGCGTGGACGTAGTTGTGACTCGATCGCTGTATTCCACAACCGGGTAAAACTCTGCCTCCACGCCAGTGGATTGGAGCAGAGGGGCGATGTAAGAGTCGGTCGCTCTTAAGTCTGGGTGCAGTTGATTGAGGTTTTTGTTGAGAATTCTCACACGCTTCGGGTGAGTCCCCTTAGATCTAACGATGACGTACGGTAGACTTGCAGGGTTCCATTTTACGCTTCCGCCTGCGGCGCCTGAATTGCCTGCAAGTGGTACATTTGAAATTTATTTTCAGGCTGGGCAACCCGTGTCGAATTGCACGTATGATGATGTTTGCGTCTGACTGATGTACTTATAAGCCGACACGGAAGTTTTAATAAAACAAATAAGCAATTATTTAAAAGAATATCAGTGGTAAGAGTTCAGAAAAATTAACTAAGAGAAAAAACACAAATAAGCACGATGAAAACAACAGCTGCAAAATCAAACTATGCTCTAAGAAAACACTATAACAGGTACATACAAACACAATGGCAAACACAACAGGCAAACAGAATGTAGAATGTTAATAAATTAGTAACATATGATGGAATTAAAAGACACAAAGAAGAAATTACAAAGAAGTCGTGTTCGTGCTTCTGAGTCACGACGTGCAATGCAGCGCACTCTGAAACAATTATTTATTAGGAGGGAATAATAAAATAACGGTTGAAAAGAAAACACAAAATGAATTTTTATGTGGACCAGACCACCTCGTAGTCCAAGTCGTTCACCTCGCGGCCGGCACATGCTATCCCACTTCTCCGGCTCATGAAACCAGTTACCCTCCCTCGGCGAGGGAATTAACCCTCGTACCTTTGACGACTCGGGCAGCGGGGAGGGGACATGAATCGTGAACGCTACGACTGAGTATTGCTAGAACATTATCTAGGCTTCTGCGCCAGCCGTTCATAGGACGAATCCCCTCAATTCACAGCTGGTTGATTCACGAACTTACAAAGCTTCGAGAACTATTCCTGGGTGGAAACGACAACACTGACACCAGCACGTAAGGAACAGCAACACACTTCTTAGGAACTGACGCATGTTGAGGCTGACATTTCCCTCCTTCGTTTTGATTCGCTTCAAAAGCTTTTTCAAAACCGCTGAAATCAGGTAACTCGCATAACCAGCGCTCAAGAGGCGCTTGGCATGTGTTTTTAAACTGCGTTGCATCAGGTGCAGGAATGACTTCTTAAGTGCACGAACGGGGCAAACATGCCCCCTTTTACCTATATTGATTGAACTGAGTGAAAGGGTAAGAAGGCTTCTCCAATTTTCGATCTTAACAGCATGCATAAATAATCGCTCGAAAAGCAGATCGTTACGTCTATAAGAACCTAATAGAATTGCCAGAAGTTCGCTAATGTGCAAGTTCCAGACGATGCAAGTGATGCTTAAGCAAACTAGAAGTCTAGCGACAACAACGTCGAAATCTGCATTCGAACAATCAACAAATACTATCCAATCATTTCCAACTATACAGATTTCACAACGAGAGACGACTCAATATCTTTTAGATTGTGACAGTTTTTATGCGAGAGAAATTGTCACTCAAGACTGGTGCCAAACAAGAGCCCATGCATACGACACTTTTTTTTCCAATGAATTCTTCCTCATTCCAAAACGCAAACGCTCACTCTAAATAAAATGAAAACAATTCCAGAAACCCACAGACCGACATGCGTGACGCATTCTGGAACGCTATCAACCAAAACGTGTCAATGCATTCATTTAAGCACTGAACCCGTGTTTTATGTGGAAATTAATAATACAAATATTTCGTGTCTATCTAATAACCCTTCAGCTCTTTGTCATTGGTATTTAATAGCCTCCGAGTATCTTACCAAGAGACGATTGTCAGTAGGTAGTAAAGTTAAGCTTTTCCTGTAAGAACATGGTGACCTCTTTTTACCAAGTCGTAATCAGATCGTAATCAGATACTGTTACTCGCAAAGGGCAGTCTTTCTCGCGCGTCTAGACAATAAGATGTCCAGACTAAGCTTCTTTGATTTGTCATTTATTTCGCCACTTTGTCTAGGGCATGTTAATGCATGCTAACGTATAACACTTTGCTCCCATCCAAGATGCAATACTTAGTGCAAACACCTTCAAAATGACATGATATTCAAAAGCCACGGGAATGATTATATATGCCTTTCATGTGTAATCTAGTTTTACCTGCACTAATGCAAAGGGTAATTATCTACATGATCGAATGTTCATATGGTCATAAACAGTATAACGGTGAAACAGGATAGCCTGTTAAGGTTAGAATAAAAGGTAATCGCGTGGACACCGCAAAGAAATCACCGAAAGCCATGGTACAGCAATTTAATGTAGCTTGACACAGCTTCGACGGTCTCAAAGTTTACATACTTCAGTCAAACTTCCGATCTACAACAGACAGAAAATATACAGTCGTACTTTATTGAGTTCAATACACTCCAGCCAATAGGTGTGGAGGACTGAAGGAGCAGCACGCACGCACTAGAGTGCGCGCGAGCCACTCTTCTAGTGCGGCCGTGGTACATCCTGACTTCCCCACTGCTGTGTTATCTTCTTTTTCATTCTCGGATTAACTGTTCCTTTTCTTTTTAGCAAGTCGTCACAGCCCCACCCCTCCCCCGTGCTCTCACACTTGCGTATCTAATTTCGCCCTCTCCCTTATTTGTTAGGATGGAGGAGAGAGTGTGAAGCGCAGACAGACTAGTGCAAAAAAAAACAGTTCTGTTCTGGCTTTGAGAAAGAGAAGTCCACTTTTCTAAACGTCGGCTCGACACAACAGCTGTTTTACGGATTTTCTACTATCAGGTGCTTGTAGCTTTGTGTACTCAGGTCAAGCACCAACTGGTTTGCTGGTTGAAACACCATTATATTAGACACGGATGCATTAGCTTTTAGTGGTAAAAACTAATCGTCAGCTCCAGTGGTAGCAGAAGTGTCTTTGTCCATAGACCCGACAGCACTTAGCCTGAGTGGAAGAGGTGGAGGAGGCTTTGGACGTGGCTCGCCTGTAAACGAGTCTTTGGAGTCTTCAGCCGTATGGGTTTTTTTCTAGTCTGGTTAGCATAATCACAGAAATTTCACAACCTGCGCATCTCTATCGGTATACAAGCTTGTAGTTTCTCCGTTAAGCATAAAATAACACATAATATTTTTTACTTCCAATTCTCGCATGTCTGCAAGGAGACTGTGCACTTTGTCACACAAAAGATATTTGTTATTTCATCTGCGAATGGCGAAAGAACTCTTTAGTAAATGTAGAGTTGCAACGCGACACCCACGTGGCTCTCGTGATATCGGCCCACTATGCATGTGAAAATTAAAAAGAACTGACACTTGGGTGACTTGTATGTGGTGAAACATGTTGATTGGTTCAGCGAGGAACTAAGAAGGACAAAAGCAATAAAGGGCAAACACTTACGTTGCAGCGTAACTGCCAGCCGGCCTAACGCTGTCGCATAGCTGCCTTCACAGTAACAAAAATGTTGACTCAGCACTGGGATTTCGCTCTGAACCACTCAGCATACATGCAATTGTAGCGCTGTGAGAACATTGCATCCCATTCTGCGTAAACAGGCACTCTCGAGCCAATCTATGATTACCGTACACTGATTTATGTGCGACCTAGGGAGAAACTTTTCGTATTTCCTTTTATTGCGAAAGAATCTACATTGCTAGTGGAAACGAAAGACTGTAAAGCATCGGTGTCACGAGAGGGCCGCTATTGGCTGTGCTATCAGTTATGTCGTTCTCAGCGTCATACTCAAGCGCACACGCATAAGTTTTCAACTGATACCTTCTACATGGCTAAGCCACGGACAACTCCTTTACCTGCAGTGGGTGCATGAGAGAGCACGCATTTTCCGGGCTGACTGTGCAGTCCGGGCACAAAAAACAGGCCCGGGAGGCTGAGTGCTTGCAGCAACTGCGTATACCTATGATCAGGCAGCCTTCCAAGCCACACTATATCATAAACGGCAACGCAAGTGCCGATGGCGGGCGGATCCAGCGAACCACGCCACCAAGTTAACGCGCGATGTTAAGCGCATGCAACAATGCCGCGCCAAACAAGCGCTACTAAGGGCACAACAGCGTCACCGTGACGATTGCGGGAGCACGTTCACCGGGACGAACGCCCATCTTCGGCGAGAGTTTCTCTAGTGATACTTCGGCTTCGGCTGCGACGTCTGTAACCATCTTTGGTTCGAGAACAACCACTGTGATTAACGCAGAGTGACTTGTTTCGCGAGTTGGTTCATTTTTAACGTAACTTATGACGCGAAAAAAAACCGCTTGTCCTTCTCTCGTGTTTTTTTTTCGCGCTATAAGCTACGTCAAGAGTGATCAAAGCATTGCGAAACGCATTTAACCTCTAATTACACTCCTCCATGAGCGTGATCGTGCGAGGCACAATATGCGGCGTCTCAAATAAACACTGTGGTAAACTCAAGGCAAGCGTCTGTCTAACGTCATCGACAAGTACGAACATGTAAGCAATAATTGTGAAAGCCTTCAGCGCAGCGTCGGGTTGAACCCACTGCTAAACACCGGGACCACCCATTTCAGCTGTCGCTTGTTAACCATTTGTATAGAGTTCTTGGGCAGGGACTTTTTTTCTGGATAATTGCTCATTCCTCAGTTTAATTACAACAAAATAATGAGAGCAAATGTACTAAAATAAATTATACAAATTGAATTGTTACTGACGTATCTCTCGGTAGTTCTTTGTTTGGTGTATTCACGAAGCACAATGACTGGCGCCAGGATGGATGCCCTCTTCAGCTCCATGGCACGACCGGGCTCAATAACAACGATCTTCATTTGGTCGTTTTCTTTATGTTCATGCACCACGGGATGGACTGCAAAGCCTCCTACGGCGAATGACCACGGATTCCACATGGCTGTAAATTTCAGAAAAAAAAGATAAGAAAAGGCGGTTTGCTTTCAACCCCTTACCAACGAACTTCTGTTAAAGGGTCCAGATAGTTGAGAAATCTCTTATCTTATCATGATGTCTGCAGTGGAATCCCAACGATATGCAAGGACGGAAATGAATATGAGGTGTCTGTTTCAGGATTGATAAAATACAAGCTTTTTTTCTGGCACACTGCAAACGTGTCTGCCCATAATGGAAAATAAGCTCGAAAAGGGGGGGGGGGGGGGTTGCTAGAGCTTCGCGCTTAGGATCTTAACGCCATGGCGATATCTGATCCGTAGTTCTTACAACTACCGTTTAGTGCATAACTTTTACTGCATGATGTTACTCGAGAAGTTCAAATTATGGGCTACTACAGTGCAATAGATAAAGGTTAAAGTGGCTCGTGTCGATTAAGCTTTCACAAATGACTATACTCTATGCAAAGAATGGCATGCTTTAAACCACGAGCAATTATGCGCTTGAAGTATTTTCGAAGTTGCTACCGCTCCGTGGTCTTCACGGAATACACGAAGAAACATGTGCGCCTTTTAAACCGTGAAGTCACAGTGATAGTTGCATGTCCTCACGCTCGATGGCAGGAGCATAGCCAAAAACTTTCTTCAGGGGGGGGGGGGGGGGGGTCACACTAAACTGATTGTACTCCAATCATAGAGGTTTCATCATGCACTTTGCGATGGCAAAGTAATCATTGATGACAAACGTTTACTTGGTTTCAATCGAAAGAGCATTTGCAACCGGACTATACCTTCTAACACGAAACTATCTTGCTCACTGCGTATATGCGCTAAAACATATAAATACACGCCAAAACAGCGGAATGTTCTCACTCTTTTTTTTCGTATCTTTCGTCGCTCAGCTACCTGAAACAATAGGGTTGCGGCAAGGTGTCTTTCGTAGCTTGCGAGCGTGCAGCCGAAATTTCCCTTTACGTCAGCCGATTTATAACTTTACAGAAAATTTTGCCACGCAGCATACGTGCATTCATGTTTCCAGCACTTACATCGGCGCGAAAAGGAGCAGCCTCGAACCACACGAAATCTTCAGTGATCGGCTCACCAATGAAATAGGAATGTACTCAGGAGTTGTTCATAGAATATTGCACCATAAACCATTTCTCAGAACGCGTGAATTTGGACGAGAACTGCCAGCGCAAGCAATACGAGTTTACTTACGCTGTACTGTGCACAGTCCTAGCTTATCGGTTGTGTTTCTGACATTGTGATGCTAGTCGCTGGAATTTCATTGCTGTCCTCAACTCCTTGGCGTTCATTCTCGTTTGTGGTAGTTCATGACAACGCAATAGAAATTACCTGCCTTCTTTATGGGCTCAATCACAAACGCGAGACGTCTCGCGCGCAGAGAAGGATACTGGGTGAGCGCGACCTTACCGACACCTGAAGTCCAGCGAAGGAAATGTATTTCCACGAATCTTTGAGCCAGGCGAGAAACGAGTGCTAGAACTGAAGGCAGAAATTGACATGTATTGTCACTAAAGTTCTCGTTTCTCGCATTCAGGGTCACTGCCCGAACTTTGCTGAGAGCTTTTCTTCTTAGCAATATGAAGCCACCCCCTTGAAATACGCTGCCTACACGTATTTCTGGGTAGCTCGTGTTCTGGGTCGATCAACATCCTTCTGTGAGACTCGATGGTCGCGCCGAAATGCCGTACGGCATAATTCTTGCTGATTATTTCCTGAAAGGTGACGCTGCTCCTAGTGCACACTTGACAACTGGCGAAAATGAGGATGGCGCTTGTCACAGGTAGGCAGCTTCATCGAAGGAACGTGCTATTGGCTAGCGTTGATGATCACTTAATGCTTTCAGTATTCCTGACCTCTTCCGAACTACTCAATAGACCAGTTCAATAGGCGCTTTAAAAGGCATCAGCACACCTTGAAGATGTTTTTTTGCCTTCTGCCACAGAAAATTCCCAAATCCGCCACTCTTTCTACTACCGAAAAGTTTGCTGACGCGTACTCGACCAATATCCCTAATTTGGCATTGCCAGGAGAATTAGCAGTATGGGCTGCGAAATGGAAGCGAGAGAAGCGAGAGAAGCGAGAAACGCTGAGCATGTCTGCGATGCAAGTGGTCGCCAGCCGCCTAGATGTAATCTTCCCAAACGTGTACCATCTTCTAAAGACTTTGGCAACTGGCAACTTTTCCCGTGAGCACACATGAAGCAGAACGGTCTTTTTATTTATTTATTTATAAATTTATTTACAAATATATTAAAGGCCTAGAAGAGGCAGTCTGTAAGCGTGTTCAATATGCAGTGAGAACAATTTAGAATGTTATGAAAAACGATATTGGCATATAGAAGTAGAAACAACGTAGAATAACATGAAAAACAAATACAAGTACAGCAAAATGCTTTTAGTACAAAATATTCTATTTTCTAGTCTAATAATTCCTGGTGAAGTAATTTAGTTTTTCTAGTCAAATTGCTTTTAGTACAACAGAACCTAAAAACAACAGTATCAATTTACTGATGAAATAAATTTGGAAAAAAATTAGGTTGCAAAAAAAACATGACAGAATATGGAGCAGCTAAGACATACCAGAGAAACGAATGATGATATGCTGTCGAAATATTTTGGAATTACGTTGAACGACGATGAGATTGGGAAGACTGTTCCATAGTCGTATGACAGGCGGGAAGGATGAGTAGTTAAAAGGTATAGAGTTGCAGTAGACATGGGAGTTGCTGAAGTCATTGTGTAGTCTGTGCGATAAGTGAGAAGAACGTTGTAAATGTGATAGTGGTGATCGAAAGGCTTTAAGATATTTATGAAAGAGAGAAAAAAATGGCAATGTAACGACGTATTCTTTGTGATTGGAGTTAAATTTCGAGCTTTAGCTGTGTTACACTAGACTGTATGTTATGATTTCATGGTATAAAACGACATGCACTGCTCTGGATAGCTTCCGACTTCTCTAATAAATGTTTTCATAAGGTGACCAAATGGATGATGCTTACGCTAACTGGGATAGGACAAATGTTTGTAGGCTTCATCATTTTCACTGGTATAGCGCACCACGACAAGGACACACACAAAGGAGATATGTACACACACACAGCGCTAACTTGCAACTAATGTTTTATTTGCGATCACACACGCTGTTTATAACACAGTACACCGATGAAACTTGGATAATGTGACGTCAAGAATACAGCACAGCCCATGCAAGTGTCATTACCGATAGCGACAATCTACACTAGCACCGTCAAAGTGAAGATTCGAGAGGTAGGTAGGTAATCAACTTTATTGATTCACGATGGAATCATTTGAGGGGGGTGTGGTTGGGGAAGTGGAATCAGGATGACGACGAGCCCTCGCGCCGCTCTAGGTGGCCGGACACTGCTGTGCTTCGGCGACCCTTCTGGCCCAGCTCACTGTCCGGAGCTGTAAACCCGGTTGCGAGCTGCGCAGAGCAGCCTCCCATCGCTCCTGGTGTTCTGACCCTTGCCACGGAGGCTTAAGTTTGTTTGGACAATTCAGAAAGATGTGCTGGAAGTCGCCTCTGGTGCTAGGACATAAGTTGCAATGAGGCGAGGTTTCGCCATGTGTAAAAAGGGAGAGAAGAAAGGGAGTCGTTACTGTGGCCGTTTGAAGTCTGCGCCACAAAGCCTGGTCACTTTTGGAGAGAGATTTATGTGGTGGGGGATACGTTAGGCGGGAATTTCGGTAAAATTGCGTGATATCGTGATAGCTGAGGAGTCGATCCATGGCACTTCGAAGCGAAGGCAGGTCGCTGTGAGCCCGGTTGGCGAGTGCTGGGGCTTCGGTGTGAGCGGCCGTGTTGCCTGGGTGTCCACAGTGCGCAGGGACCCAGAGGAGGGTGATGAGGCGATCAGGCGGAAGAGATGATTCAAGAATTTTAGCAGCCGGAGAATGAATTCAGAAAGTGGCGAAATTACGAATTGCAGTTTTTGAATCAGAAAAAATATACTCAGCGGAGGAGTGAACAATGGCTAAAGCAATTGCCGCCTCCTCTGATTCCAGGGATTTTGTCGAATTTGGAAGCGACGCACTAGCGACCAGTTTTTGAAATCCATCTACGACGGCTACCGCGAAAGCTCGATGATCTACATATTCGGCCGCGTCTACATAGACTGCGGGAGAATTAGGAGGGAAGCGCTTCTGAAGGTACTTGGCTCCAGCTTCCCGTCGCGCCCGATTATGTTCTGGGTGAGAATTTTTGGGGAGTGGCGAGATTAATAGGTTGCTGCTAACAGTGACGGGAACTGCGTGCGTGGCCGTGGTGTGACCAGGAACGTTGATTACAAGTCGGCGCAGGAGTACCTGTCCTGTTTCTGCGAGTGATAGTCTTTGATATTGGCTGAAAAGATGCACCTCTACAAGCTCTCCCAGAGTGTTGTGCATCCCAAGTTGAAGTAGTTTATCTGTGCCTGTTGATTTAGGGAGATGGAGTGCAGTTTTATAGGCATTACGAATGAGTCTGTTGAGTTGCTCGATCTACGTAAGCGAGAGATAGAGGTAGGGGATAGAATAGGTAATTCTGCATAGGCAAAAGGCCTGTATGAGGCGGCGTGTGTCTGCTTCCCTCATGCCGCGATGACGATTGGATATGCGCTTAATGAGGGAAGCTGTTTTTTTGAACTGAGGTGCGGATTAACTTTATAGTGTCAGCGTTCGAGCCATTGTCGGAAATATTAAGGCCTAAAATATTGAATTTATTGACCCTGCAAATAGGGGTGTCATCAAGCATGACTTGAATGTGACATGTATCTTGCTTTTTAAAGTCAATTACTAGGAGTTCCGATTTAGCCGCCGAATAGGTGAGCCCAATATTATTGGCGTGTTTAACATCAATGCCAGCGGCCAACTGAAGCTTCGATTCGATTTCGCCATGGTTGCCAGTATTGACCCAGATGGTGATGTCCTACGCGTACAAGGAGTGATTGATGGAAGAAAGTTTGGCAAGTTCCCGCGCTAG